CACCCACACCCACATCCACACCCACATCCACACCCACACCCACATCCACATCCACACCCACACCCACACCCACACCCACATCCACACCCACATCCACACCCACACCCACATCCACATCCACACCCACACCCACACCCACACCCACACCCACATAATGGCGCTGCCTACCTGGTGGCCAGTTGACACTGGTCCCATTGGAGATCTTGTCACCGGTGCCCTTGACCTGAGCCCAGCCCTCAGAGGTCACCAGGGAGCTGGTGGGGGACTCGGCGCTGGGGTGCAGGTTGTAGCTGAAGGAGCTGTCCATCGTGGGCTTCCCCTGGGGGGGGCCCAGCTTGGACATAGAGCCTGCAGAAACATTGGTCATTTGTGGTTGTGTGTGCAGATCTAGGCGTGTGCTACATGTCCGTGTGCGTCTTCAGACTCTCATACCGTATTTACTGAAGCCTGGGTCCGAGACACCTTCCCGAGGACTGGGGTGCGTCCACTGGGACAGGCGAGACTGCGGCTGGGAGGGGTCCTTCACACACAGGCTGTCCGCCTCCATGCCGGTGACATTCATGTTCAGGTTCAGTCCGGCTGAAGGAAACACAGAATTAGGACCCATGGGGGGTATTTTATAGGCACTGCCACTCGTAAGGGAGGAGAATGGGGAAGACATTCAGGGGCCCAGACATTACAGGGAGCCCATGGGTGTGTGATTGTGGATTATGGTATTTTTTGGGGGTTTCAAACACTAGGGGGTGCCCATGAGCATGTGACTGTGGCCCTGTTCACGGGCTCATTAGGGCAGCAGCTGGGAGGTAAACAAACCGGTAACCTATGGTGACAATCATGGTGACTTACACGGGAGTGTTTTTCACAGCCTATCACGGCTCCCAACCTGGAGGTATAAAGGACTTCCTATCTTTCCTCTGTGGTATTGGTGGTAAGAATAAATGAGCGGCTCACCAAGAGAGTAGGGGGCGTAGGAGCTGGGAGCGGACTGCGGCTCTTTGGTCTGCATGTCGGCGAGGCCCGGAGCCGGGTGGTGGCCTGCAAAGCCATCCAGGGCTGATTTGGGGGCACCGGGGTGGGAGGGAGTCGGCGCCTGCTGCTTCTTCAGCAGGGCCTGGGCCAGCTGCCGCTGCTGCTGCTGGATCTGTTGCTGCATGCTGCTGATTGTACGTGCAACCTGGGGAACAGGTGCGCAGTGTGAGGGGAGGGGCATGGCGAGAGGGGCGGGGCATGAGGGGTGTGGCGTGAGAAGATGGGCGTGGCTTGTGGGGCAGGCGCAGGCGAGGCAGCTCACCTGTTGCTCCTGCTGCCTGGCCGGGCCGGACGCAGTGCGGTGGGTTTGCAGCATCTGCTGCTGGATCTGCAGACGCTGGTAAGTCTGCAGGAGTCACACGCAGGTGAGCAGCTGTGCATATATGCATCTGACAGCTCCATCTAATCTCCTTCATACTGTTTGAATTTTATTAATAGTGTGTTCTCCACAGAAAAGTTATCACCCCCCCCTTAAAGGATACATACCCCATGATTTTCTGTTTTTACCAAATATCTACCAGGGCTCCAGAGTGACGGCAATTTGGTCACACATGTGACCTAAAATCTGTCAAGTGCGATTAATTTTTTTTCATTGGTCGCAGTGGTGCTCTCTCTTTTTTCAGGGTCAGAGCCAATCAGAGGCAGAGAAGGGGTGGGTCTCTGCCACTTTAGACCAGTGTTTCTGAAACTATACACGTTTTAAAAAGGTGTAATTTTATTTACCAAGCATTTAACTGCAGACCTCAGCCTAATTATACTACACACACCTTTTAAAAACTGTACAGTTTCAGAAACACTGGTATAAGAAACACATCCTGTATCATGACAAGTTGTGTGACCGCCAGGGCAGCGTGGCAGCAGCAAACCAAAGCTTTTTCTGTATCTGGGAGCAGCAGACACTTATGAGTCATGTGAGTTTTTGAAATTTTGTTTGTGCTGCGATTCAAATAAGGGTAAACATTTACCTACCCCTTTATTCCTCTTTACAATCATTTACATAAACTATACATATCATACGGGAAGTGACGAAAAGAACCCTTAAAATGTATCTCTGTGGCGCTATAGGAACTGTGAAAAATGTGGGTGCACCTACATTTTGTGGCAGTGCACCTAAATGGAAAAGTTAGGTTCACCAGTGCAACCAGTACAAAAGGTTAGTCTGGAGCCCTGTGTACCACATCTGTAACCACTGTGGACAGATGTTTCCCTGACAATGAGGTGACCGATAACCTCCCCCCCGCACCAAGGACCCATCGGCCCTCATCTGCGGCCCTGACCGGTGACTCACCAGCTGTAGCTGGTATAACTGGTTGAGAAGGTTCGTGTGCTGGGGGTTGGCTGGGGAGCCCAGTAGCCCAGGGTTCAGACCGACGCTCTTGGCCGCTAACTGCAGGAGCTGCGCTTGGACCTGTGGAGATGTGGGCCCAGAGACACATCACGTAACTTCCTAGCCGACACATCACTGACACACCACTGACACAAAGTGAAATGTCTACAATGTCATTGCAGAGAAAAACAATCACTCGTATCCAGGCAACGGTCCAGCCGGAAGTCCTGAGGTTAGCACTTTAGCAAAGCTGTCACCTCCAGCATCTGTACCCAGAAATGCGTCTCGCACGTTGCTCTCTTGAGATGACTTCGTGCAGCTCTCTCTAGAAAATGTTTTGTTTTTTTTTTCCATTGTGCATGCTTGCTGATTATGAGCTCGTTCTGTGTGTGTGTGGATCATGTATATATTACATTGTGAGGACCACATGTCCCCACGATGTGATTAAGAAACTGAAATTCTGATGTTGCGGAGAAACTCAATTTTATAAAAGTCTGCGACTGCAATCAAAAAAACTGAAAATGCCAAAAGTCTTGTATTTTGTTTGGTTACTTATGATTAAGGTTAGGGCTGGGTGGGGGTTAAGGTTGTCAGATATGAATACAAAAGTGCGTGTATGTCTCCCCCTGATGGTATGAATACAAACGTGTGTGTGTGTGCGCGTGTGTGTGTGTGTCACCCCTGTTGGTATTCGAGGCTGACCTGAGGGGAGAGAAGCTGAGGCACTTGAGCACGGTGACCAGTCTGGGAGGAGCTGAGGGGCGTGGCCAGTGAGAGAGGGGGTGGAGCTTGATGCTGCGAATGGGCAGAGCGAGCTAATGCTGCCCCACTGCTGCCAAATACGCCACCCTGCATTTTTGTGTGTGTTTGGAGGGGGGGGTTAGCAAACACGTTAAAGTTGCTCATGATTCATTATCATTTTATATTTTTAGAGAACAGACATGGACCATATGCAGAAGTAGTATATTTAAGCAGTAATTTTTAAGTTATGATCTACGTTAAGTGCTTCGAATTAACGTAATGAATCTGCCCACTCAGCTGCAAATTCAGACGTAATGGGTCACAGAACAGTGTGACGTACGGTAACTGTGTGGTAAATCACAGAGCAAAGAGGCTACTGGCAGGAGACTACGACACCCACATTATCTCCGAAAGCAGGACGGTCTGGCGGGGGATCTTTGGGCAGGAGTGCCGTCCGTCCAGGCTTGGGAACCGGCCCGTTGCTGTAATCGGATCCACCCACCAGGCCTCGCTTGTCCAGGGCAGTCTTCTTTTCCAGCAGGACACCTGGGGGACGAAAGGAAAACGTATATAAACCTGGGGAAATCCATCCATTTATCAGGGCTTAATGTAATAAAAGATGAGAGCTGCACTACATGACCATAGCCAGCAGGGGGCACTCACTCATTGCTTGGTCCAGATTCATGCCAGTGCTCTTGAGCGCCTCCTCTGCCGGGTCCCTCTGAAAACACAAAGGACAAGATCAATCGATGGCTTATTCCATAGTAACGGTATGTAATCCAAGACAAACAGGCATCTCTGGTGGTTCTGACGGCATCATCAGCAGAGCAGGCAAGACTCGCTTACTGGAAATCCCATGTCCGTCAGCTGTTTGATCAGGTGACTCATGATCCAGGAGTCGTCCTGCTTATTTGCCGCTTTTCCCTGCCAATGGGAGGAAACCAGTCAGTCCGTCGACCAATAGCATGACAGTGATTTTGGTAAGAGCCCTCCCACCTCAGTCACCTTCTGTGGCACCTTTCTGGGCAGGTTTCCCCAGGAGCTGCTCTCCTGCTTGGCGGCGGTGCCACTCCACACGTCCACGTCCTTGGCCTCCCACGGGCCACCGGCCGAGGTCGGCTCTTCCGTGCTACGACCCCCCCAGCCTTCTTGCATAGGTTTGGGAGCTTGGCGGAAGGAGAAGAGGCAGTGAGACAGTAAATCCTCTGGAGAGCCAAGACACTAAAGTTAAGCTTCATCATGACCACTAGGGGGCATTAATATATTATAAGTGTGCTAGCTACCCAACTTAATATAAAAAGTTGAGTCTAACAATCTAAAACATGAAAACATGGCATCAAGATTTAAATATGCTCTGTCTACGCATGGCAGAGCGTGTCTGAGTACCTGGCTTGCGGCTGGCCGGTCCTGGGGGTACACCCCCTCTGCTGAAAGGCCCGGCCCCCTCGGGGCCCTCCGATCCCCAGCCCCCACAGCCAGCGGGGGGTTTGCCCCAAGCCGACGTCCCGTTGTCCACGGAGACGGAGGGGCAGGTTGGCTGCCCCCATGTGGATTCGGTTTTGGGGGGCACGGTCGGCTGCTCCGGCCACGCTACGGGACAGAGGTAACCATAAACAGATTTATTCGGGAGACTCGACAGAATCCAACAAAACCCAACTAGGTAAGTCCAAGATATCCCCTGGTTCAACAAATGGGACTTAAGTTTTGAACAGGTTAAAATTTTAGCTCTCTAGGAATGATTTTAAGGGTTTCAGAGCCAAAAACCAAACCGAAGCTAAATTCATACGATAAAAATTAGCGGTTAGCGATTATTATTACCTTCGGTTAAACTATTTTTGTGGTTTATCGGATTAGCGTTATCCAATTAAACTTTGGAGTTAGCCGATTAGTGGTTACAAAAGGTAACTTTTCAGTTAGCTGTGCCCAACACTGGCTATGAGGTAAGAATCACTCCTGTCTGCTGGATGGGTCACAAACAAACTGCACAAAGTTTAGCTTAAGGGGGCCGAGAAATACTAAACCAAGCTCTTAAAATCCCTAAAATTTGCACGCAACTTTTTTTTTTCTTTCCATTCTCCCAATTTGCTATTTTGGGCTCTTGAATTAATGAAGTTGTGTTCAGTTTTGGTTATTTGTGTCCCAAAGCCAGAAGCTTAAGTCTTGGGATTGTGTAGGTGAAAAATTGTTTGTGGTCCTTCCAGAGCTCCATAAAATGCATGTAATACTGATATTAAAATGCACAATGAGCAACTGAGTATTGATCATGAGCAATAACATTTTCCTTAAGTGAATTTACTATCACTTTGATCTGATAATTTGCTATGATTTTGCCAATGATGAGATCAAATGCAATACTCAAAACCTACAGCAGGGGGCACCAAACTATTCCAATAATAGCAACCAGTAACTACATATACGGCTTCCTAAAATTACACATTACAATCTGTAAATGTGCTCTGTTTCCATGGGGGGCTTTTACAAACGAAATTATTCTTGATTTTTCAGCCTCACTGCCTTCCCTTATAACTCACATATTCATTTCAGAAATACACACATCTGGGACCCCAGAATGAACTGGGCTCTATTATAATTCTAACATGTGCTGCCCTTACCTGCAGCTGCCATGGGGGGCCTGCCTGGTGCTCCTGGCTGCTGAGGCCTGCTTGGATTGGCTGGACCGCTGACAGGGGCGGGGCGGCCGTGGCAGGGGGCGGGTAACTGGCTGTGTCGCGAGACGCTGTGATGGGATTGGCTGCCATTGCCGGTGGGGGCAGAGCTCTGCTCCTGGTTGCCTGGAGGCTTGTTTTTGTCCCACAGGTTGATGGCCTTGCTGTAGATGTTGGGGTTGCCCCAGGCTGACGTGCCGTCGTCGATCTCCATCTTGTGACGGATGGAGGGGGAGCGGGGCTCCTCCCAGCCGGTGGGCTGCCCCGCAGCCGCCTCCCGCTGTGCTAAGGCTCTGCTGCCCCCACTGCCCCCGATCCAGCTGCCCGGCTTCACCGAGGTCGGGCCCCCCCTGCCTCCTGCTCTGCCTCCCCCTTCCTGGGATTTGCCTCCCCAGGTCTGCTCGGGGGACGGCAGCTGTTCCCCCCAGGCTCCGCCCACCTCCTGAGAGCCTGCCCCCCAGCCCAGGGAGCTCTCTTTCCAGCCGTCTCCTTCACCCTCCCAGGCCGGCTTTGCCGGACCGCTCTTACCCTCTTTGGACTCCCCACCCAGCGCCCCTCCTCTGCCGGCCCAGCCATGGGGGGGTGTGGCCTGGGGGCCGTCGCTCCAGCCCTGGACCGGCTTGGCCTTCCCCTGATAGCTGTGCCAGCTGCCAGTCATTTCCTCTCCAGCTCCGGCTGAGCTGCCCGCCCAGCCTGACGGCCCCGCGTGTACCTTTCTGTCGGTGTGCGGCTCGACCCGGCTGGGCCTGGGGTGCGGGTCGGGACCCCCCCAGCCCGTAGCCGTGGAGACCCCAGGCCCAGCTATTTCGCTCCTTTGCTCCGCCTCCGCTGCACGCCCGGTGGGGGGCTTGGGGTCGGAACCTTCTGCGCCCCCCTCCTCCGTCTCCCACACCGTGTGCTGTCTCACTGGCGTCTGGCCCCAGCCCGTGTTGCATAGCACGCGGGGATCCAGGTCCTGGGCAGGCACCGGGGGGTCCACCTCCTTCGTGGAGGGCTTCTTCCTGTGCCGGGGGGGGCCCTCGTGGCTGTCACTGCTGCCCTCGCTGGAGGGCGTCCCGGCTCTGCAGCCCCAGGACCCAGTGTGCTCCTGCTGGGGGTTCCCTGCCGACTCTGGCCCTTTAGCCTTGCTGGAGCTCTGGTCCCAGCCAGGTGTAGCCGCCCCCCTGTCGCTCCCACGGCCCCAGGCAGTTGTGCCCAGGTCCCAGGATGAGCCGCTCTCCTGATTGGCCGGTGTGGAGCCTGTGGTCCCACCCTCCCAGTCCGGAGCAGTGCGGACGGGGTTTGACGAGCCCCAGCTGCTGCGGATCGGCCCGTTGGCATTACAGTTCTGTGGTTTGCCTCCGGTGGGCATGTTCACGGAGGGGGAGGGCGGCTTCTCCAGACCATCAGGTGTCATTGTTCCTCCCCAGGAGCCAACGCCACCATTTCCTGCAGCATTACAACTGGCCCCACCCAACTGTGTGTTGGCCCCGCCCATATGCGCCATAGACCCTCCCACTGGGCCACAGAGCCCGGGGGGTGGGGCGTTCCCACTTAGTGACCCGCCGGCGCCATCCTGACCCAGCACGGGCCAGGCAGACGGGTTGGCACTCGGGTTCAGGTTCATGGCAGAGGAGCTCCAGCTGGGTTGGCCCCTCCCTCCTGTAGGCGGGGTCTCATGATTCCCATCTCCACCAATGGCAGCTGGACAGTGGGCAGGCCCAATGTCCCAGGCTTTGCCAGCCACCTCCAGGCCGGCGGTGCTGGTGACAGGGTGGTTGCCTGGGTAACAGGCTTGGGGGGAGCCCTCGGCGCCCCCGCTCATGCTGCTGCCTCCCTCGGCAGTGCTGTCGGCGTCCGCGGCTTGCTTCGAAAGGGCGTGGCCGTCGGCGCGTGAGACGCGGGGCCACGCCTCAGCGTCTCGGTCGTCCACGATCAGCTGGTCCCAGCTGGCGCTACCGGTGGGCGAGCCCCCGCCACGGGAATCCTCATACTGGGACGACACTGCGGCACAGAGAGATGGGGAGGGCAGGTCAGCTTCTCGAACCCTGGGTGAAACAGCAGTATGATAATTAGGTCAGAGCTGTACTTCTGTAAGCCATGCGCTGCTACACCCTAAGGCCTGGGGATAGAGACTGCGGTGGATGTTGCCGCCGCTGAGCGTTTCATTAGCCCGGTGGCAGCTCCGCAGCCCGGCACAGTCCTGCCGTGTCCCACCGCACCCCGACCCAGCAGCGGCCCCGATCAGATCCAGGGCTTCTTCATGGCCTGGAGATCGACCTCGGTCAACTGACCACTTGGGGCTTTTAAATTACAGCTGATACGTTTAGCAGTGGTATTAAAGGAACGCGGGGCTTCCACTGAGCCACTCACGGGGCACGGAGCCAGCAGCAGGGGCGTGTGTGTGTGTGTGTGTGTGTGTGTGTGTGCACGCGCAATTCCTGCTCTCCACACAAAACCCATTTTCAGCAAGAACAAGGAGGAATGGGGGCAGGTGGCTCAGCCACCTCCCCCCTCGCTGTTTACGAAGGACGCCATTTTGCAAAGCCGGGCCTTTCTGTCTCTCCTCCCTCCCTCCCTGTCTCCCTCCTGCACCCCCCCCTTTTTCTCTCTCTCTTGCACAGCGTCTCTGAAGAGCAGAAAAACACGCTGCAGGAGACATGAATCGTTACCAAACAGCATCTGGCTTCTTTAATCTTTCACAGCCTCATTGAGTCAGACAGGCTCAGCGGAGGGACTCTGCAAGCGAATGGGGCCAGAACAGTCCCATGCCACCCCCCCCTCCCTGGCCCCAGAAACACAGGACAGGTACATGGGGCTCCATCTGAGGGCACCACCCCTTGCTAGACCCCTAAGCTATACCCCACCCATTGTTTATAACTGTAGCAGCACTGTTGTGAGCAATGTATAAAATACACAGAAACACACACACACACACTCACAGACCCTCAGACACACACACTCATAGACACTCACAGACACATGCAGACACAGCAACACACAACGAGACTCACAGACACACACAAACGCACACACGCAAACGCACACACACAGTGATACATAACACTCACAGACGCATGCAGACACTCACAGACGCATGCAGACACTCACAGACGCATGCAGACACTCACAGACGCATGCAGACACTCACAGACGCATGCAGACACAAACAGACGCATGCAGACACTAAGAGTCTGTGCCCAGAACCCCACCATTACAATGAAACATACACTGACACAGTCTGTCAAGTTGCTGCAGAGAGCCAGACAGACATTAAACATGCCCCACATGCCGCATCGCGGCATTCCCTCTCATCCGCCGGGCGCCGAGATGAATAACTGTTTACCCCCATGTCTGCTAAGAGCCCCTCAAGCATAATGGCTCCAGTTTCTCTGATCAAAGTCCTGGTTCTGTTTCATTGGGTCTGAGATGGCACACCCTGCCCCCCCTCCGGACCCCCTATCTGGCTGGTCTCCATCAGAGTCTGGCTGGTGGTCACCGGCAGGTGGGCAGAGCCAGCGCTGGGACCTGGGCCATACACTCGCTATGATGGGAGCTTTAGGAAACCTATCCTCATGGGATAGTGCGGAAACACATGGAATCAGTGTGAACCAGTGTCAGCCACCCACCAATGAAACCTGTTAAAAGCATGAATGTAGAGTGACCTGCGTGCTGATTGGTGGACAGGGCTTGGGAGGCGGTCCCAAGGGGCGGGCTCCCGGCCGGCAGTGGCTGGCCCCTCCTTAGCAGCTGTTTGTGCTCTTGCTGGCGGAAGCGGGGCGGCAGCTCTCGCGGCGGGTGGCGGGAGGCCGGCGTCGGCGGCGGCTGCTGCTGGGGGGCACAGGGGGGGGGACGCTTGCCATCGCCTCCGCTGCTGGTGCCCGGGGTCACCGAGGGGGGTGCGGGGGCTGGCTCGGTGGGGGGTGCGGCGGCACACCGGGGTTTGGCCGACTCGGGCGCTGCGGAGACACGGACACGGCTAAGGGGCAGTTCGCAGGAATCAGCTGGACGCCGGCTTTTTACGGTATTAACAAAAGCAACGCTGTTCTGGTATTTTGAAATTTTGGCTAAAAATCAATGAGTGGGGGTGTGGGATTCCCAACACAATACAACTCGTAGAGTGGCACCCCGCAATAAATTTTCACCACACGGCTAATTTTGTCACCAAAATTTCAAAATACTGCGGTATACAAAACACCGCATCATGTCCAAAATACCATATTACCGATACAGGACCCAAACCTACTCCCCAGCACGAATTCCCTCTCTGCCAGTACTCCCTCTGAAATTCCTTTAAACCCCAAGAAGCATCTCTCAGATTGTCCACAATCCAGCCCCCCACCCCCAAAAAAGCACCTGACAGTCACCTGTCAGATGAACAAGACGGGGGGGTTGAGAAAAGTCAAGGTGTGTCCCTGGTGACAGGAAATGGGCCGTGATCTGCCACGCTGCTAACCCGGATGTTACTGCCAGGGACGACTCGGACCCGGTGCCAGCCGGGACGGGCTTCCCTCTGGTGTTTCTCCCATGGTGCCCCTTGGCTGCCCGTCGGCAGCAATCCTGCGCTAATTCAGTCAGCGAACCCAAGGCGTAACTGAGCTTAAGCTTCAGAGCTCCTACTTGGAACGACTACAACTGTTTGAGTTTAGCCCCCATGACGTAGATCTTTCTGGAAGCTCACAGGAGAGCCATCTGCCTAGCCCTCCTACACTCTGAATATATCGACTCGGGTGCATTATTCAGTAAATGTAGCAGGAGAGCAACATGCAGTCAGTGTCTGCAGCCACATGCAAATCTGCAGCAGAACTATCTCCCGGTGGTTCTACTCGCTGAAGCAATACACTATTTATTTTCCACTGATGGACCCCTGAAACACCAGCGACTTTCTGCCATATCTAGAGACTTCAGATCAGACTGTGATGCATGAAATGCGACAGGAGGGGCCACAATGACATGCTGTGCATTAAGCCAAATGACCGCGGCTTGGCTTTGGGGTAACGTTTCCTGGATGCAGTGCCCTCTGGTGGCGCCTTCTCTCTGCATGTCGTTTATCAGCCTCGCGCTTACAGAGGTCACATTAGAGTGACAGGTCCCCCGACCTGCTGAACGACATGCCTGCGCCTACGAAAATGGATGGCGTCGCACGTTGTGACCGCGGACGAGCTCAGCAGTGGAACCGGGCCAGCGGCCCAGATGCGTCCCGAGTCACTGAGGGCCTCTGTGCTCTGCAGTGACTCACAAAGGAAGCTCTGTGACATGCCGGCTTCTGTTCTCATGTTGAGTCTAAGCAAGGCGCGAACGCCGTCTTTAAAGGGCTCTCACCGTACAGCTCTTAATGACCTCTTAGCCTACATGAGAGCAGATAAAAACTGAACTTATTTTTTTTTTTTTTTAAAAAGGCATTTGTGGTTATTTAAAATGTTACAGGAAATAAAGCACACAGAAAGGCACATAAACAGACTATACGCCATTTCTGAATGTGTCAAATGTCATCCTAACTAGTCTCCTGACCACACCCACTAAACATGCCCACTGGCCACACCCACTGGCCACACCCACTGGCCACACCTACTCACTCTATCAACACCCCGATCCTCAGACAGACAGGCCTCCAGCAGTTGCTCTAATGGGATTTATAGCTACCTGTCGTCCCCAGGCGTGAGCTCTAGGCCCATCTGTCTCTCTGACAGCCTCGCTGAGAATCCGCCACGGGCTTTAGGAGGAGATTAATGCTCCTCACGCACGTAAACCCCCCTCCCCTTCCTGTTTCAGAGCAGGGAGGGCCTCTCCCCAGAGCTTTGGGTTCTTACAGCACCCCAAACCCCCACCTAAAAGAAGACTCTGCATGTCCGCTGAGTTGGCTTGGATATGCAAAAAAAGACGACTTGCAGATCATCACCACAGCATGTCCGTTTGACACCGGCCTCCGCCACCCGGTTAGAAACCAAACGAATACTCTGCACAAGCTCCATGTTGGCTTGTGGTCTCTGGTAATTCTGGCATGGACACTCACACCGCAGTGAAGCCATTTGGTACATTGCCAACCCAAAACACACTTCATCGGCCAGGGAACTTAATGTGGAAACACCATGACATCAGGAATATTTTACAGGTGGTTAAATAAGTCACAGGACTCTGATTTAAAACAGCTGAGTGTGCTACTAACCCCAGAATGCACTTGGGCTGCCTTAGGCCAACAATGCCAATAAAATCAACCAATAGAATTGTCGCACTGCAAGGACTGGTCTAGATCTGAGGGACTTTCTTCACTATTGACCCTTTTCACACAGAAGACATGAAGATTTAGGATTTTCTTCATGCCCCTGAAGCATTTAATGACACGCGAAGATCCGTCGGGCAGGCGGCTGCACTCACCCTGGTGCTTCGGTTCTGCCGCCTGGAAGGGAAGCAGAGAGACGTCAGCAGCTGAGGACGCACATGGTCGCAAGCAGAGAACATGGGAGTCAAGGATGGGGCGAGTAGTCATACCTTCAAATATGAGTGTGCTCAGTGCCCCGTTTTAACCCAGGATAGTGCGAGCCCCAGTGTGAGCACGCTCAGTGCCCCGTTTTAACCCAGGATAGTGCGAGCCCCAGTGTGAGCACGCTCAGTGCCCCGTTTTAACCCAGGATAGTGCGAGCCCCAGTGTGAGCACGCTCAGTGCCCCGTTTTACCCCAGGGTGGTCGAGCCCCAGTGTGAGCACGCTGATGCTGGTATTTGCTGCTCAACAAAAACATCTAAAATCGATAAGCTAAAAACAACAGGTAAAAACACGTATTGCTTGAGGAGTAACTGAATTATCACACTGACACAAATCCAATTAACACATCAAAGTTAAACAGCAGACACTGAGCTCGGTGTTGCGTCCAAATAATGGAAACATACAAAACACTATACAATGCCTGAAAAGTTAACTTTAGCACATTGTTCATGATTTCTTTGGATAAACCCTGTCAGTTAAGTTCATCCATCTGCAGTCATGCAGTGTGGTCCCTGTGTGTTTATGCATTAAAGCGACTGCACAGTTAAACAGATCTTAATATGCAGTAAAACTGTACAGTGCTCACCAGCAACCAGAAATGGCCATGAACTACGCATCCCAAAGCTTATTCAGCTCATGTGCCTAAGTGTCATTCCGATTATGGTTGCCACTTACAACTATTTTTCTATGAATTAATCTATTGACTATTTTGCCAATTGATCGATAAATCCAAACGATCAATTTTCCTCTAGAAAATCAAATAGATTTAGGTTTAATTTTATTTTGACAATAACAAACTGTATGTTATTGCAGGGCTTTAGATAAAGGACGCCGACTTGTCTGCAGTATACGGACTTTACTTATGGCCACAATTCAATAAGCACAGGCCTATTAGTAGTACGACTAAAATAATAATGGGATGCGTACTGTGAGATCCAAAAGGTAATAATTTGTATAAATAAAGCAGGTTACATGCGACCGTTTTGGTAAATCATGGAAGCGATAAGCACTTCAGTCAGGAAAGGAACAGCTCAGCAATCAGAAGATCTTTTATAAGAGGGGATATTGTACGTGGATAAACATGGTAAACGGATCTTGGGGGTGTGGCGCTACTTAATGCTGATTAAAGTCCGACACGTTTTTGTTTTCATATTTATTTATAGTTTAGGATAACAACACTGGTCCCAGTACAAGCCCAATACACACGAACACACACTGGCACCGTCAATCCATGTAGAATAAGTCCAGATTTTAGTCTAAAATTTTTCTGAAATATTTATTCAATGGAGATTCTAAAGTAGCAGGCAGATAACTTTATGGCTTTAATGATGAGTGTATTTAGCAGCTAGAATGACAAACGATATTTAAAAGCTCTCCATAGCCTACTAATGGTAAATTAATAACCATGAACAGACAACACTTACTGTAGGGTGGTTTTGCTTATTCTGGCGATCGAGGATAGTGGCAGGGCGCCCCTTCTGCTGCTCATGTGAAGGCTATGCCATCGAACTTCACACAGTGTAAAACCACCTTTTCATTTCGTGATAATTTGAATTTTAAATTATGTAGTGATTTTAAAGGAAAACATTTGTTATAAAACATTTGTTGAAACGTTTTAGACATCATAATGGTAATTTCATTATAATAATAATAATTAAAAAAAAAAAAAAAAAACGGTTTAAAATATTAATGTCGACGCATTTTTAGCGTCATCGAACACGTCGGCTAATTGCGGCAGCCGGAATTCTGATGCTTCTCAAAGTAACAGGCGGACAGTGATGACGTTCCCGTCTGCTCCTGACTCCAGAGATCAGGCCAGATCAGGACAGCTAGCTAACGACAGGACCAGAGGGGGGTGGGGGGGTTTGGGGGATGGGTTACTGCACCTTTTTCTGAGTGGCTTCCTTCTTTTTCTTTTCGTCTTGTTTCTTCTTTTTCTTTTCTTCCATCAAATGGTTCTCGTCATGTATTTTTGGATCCCTTTCTTGCCTGGAAGAAAAAAGAAAATCGGTTTTCAGAGCGGTCTGAATGAAGGTCACACTGCTTTAACACACACAGTTCATAATAAATCTGGTCCCCACAATGTAATGTACATCTGACCCACACACACACTCCCAGACTGTGTGTGTCGTGAATGCTATAAGGAGACTTCAAAAGGTATAAAGAAAGATTTCTGAAGCTCTATTCTCCGCAACGTATAAAGAAACAGGGTCTTAGGAGACCTCAGGAGGCGAGGGAATGGACAGCAGAGGTCACCTTCAGCTTCCTAAAGCCGCGCCAACAGCCATCACAGGAAACGCAGAGAGAGCGGTGATGTGATCGGCAGTGTTTCAGGATGAAAATGCTAGGAAGCTGCATGCTGGCCCCTCTGAGGACTGGCTATTTTAAGCTGCTAAGTTTTCAACTATGAGGTAAAAGAAGCTATACAGAGAGACTGAAAAGGCCCTGGTGCCTCACCAGCGGCCAGGGGCCACTTTTCTAGATGTTTATGTCTCCGGCCAGAGGAGCAGAGACCAGACGCAGCATGCCGAAGCAACACCTGCGCACAACGGCGAAGCAGCCCAGAGACGGCTCACCGAGAGAGCAGGTCTCCCCACGGGGACGGGACACACCTCTCCATGCACATGCCGTCTCTAAAAGTGGCCATAAATTTCAAACAAAATCACTGTTTCGGCTGTGCAGGGTGCCCAAGGCAAACTTTTTCATTGGTTCTGATCCCACCCCCTGTCCACGATTGGCTGATATAAAAGTTACGACGTGGGGCTGTTCAGCAGGACCAATTATGCAGTTACCAGAATGCTTTGCACGATTTACAAAACTGTAAATTAATCTGTGTATTTGTACATTTTTATTAACAGTACAACAACTACGGAATGTGCCATGGAATGCTTGTGTTTTGTTTGCATGTAGCCGTGAGTGTCGTGTAAATTGTTGGCTTGCCAATCTGTGCTGCTGCTAGTATTAAACCAATAATGGCTGTTAATGAAGAGAGCAAGTTCCATTTAAAAGAGCTGTCACCTCCTTTATTAAAGTGACTCACGCACTTGCCACAATACACTTATTTGCCCTCTCTATGTGGGTCTGCTGCATCGAAAAAAAGATCCTGCGCACTCTAGGGTTGCGGCATGATGTAGACGAACGAGGTGGTGACGTCGTTTGAAGTATGCAAAGGATCGTTCTCACAGATGCACTTGATTTCTTTTTGTCTAGACGTCATTTGAAGTCTGCAGCCCAAAGGAAACACAAATTCCAGAGCAAACATTACACGGCTATGACATTTACTACTGACATAATGAATGCGTGAATACACATATTAATTTACACTATTAAGATACGTGCGATGCAGTGCAAAGCGTGACTGTGATGACATAATTAGTGCTGCAGACCAACCTCACTGCATCATATTATGTCAGCCAATCGTGGACAGGGGGTGGGATCAGAATGAATGAAAAGTATGCCTCAGAGACCCTGCACAGACGGTGATCAGTGCTCATACGACGTCGATTTCGTTTGAAATATATAGCCATCTTAACACAGGAACCAAGCGTGACTGCTTCAGTACGCTGATGCCCTGGAGATCTGAGGCAAACAGGAAGTGGAAGTTAATTAAGTGGCTCTTTGAATCTCTCCGGCCAAACCTGCCTGAACTGCTTTGCCGGGAAGAGGAGCTGCATGATAAAAAGCCAGTGACTGGAATCACAAAAATGTTTGCGTAAATGAAAATATAAGCGTAACATGCTATGATTCTTATACCCAATGCAGAATTTAATCTCAGGCAAAGAAAAATACTAAAAATATAGCATAAATAATACTATAAATATAGCATAATTGTGAAATCAAGTTGTTTTTTTATTTTATATAACACTTTTGCCGGCATGGCTTCCAAAAATAGTGATAGGAGATGTTGAGTCTGTGATACCCATAGTGGAGATGGTGGTAGATGGGAAGGTGTCATCATTCCCATGAGTGGTTTGACCCGCTTCCTGTTTGACCCATTGCATTACTGGTTAAACCGGGATGCGACTGGCTGCCCACGGAAGTCCCGTCCACCACAGACTTCAGAACTTTACTTCACAGTACTTAAGTTCTAAAGTCATGAAGTCCATACCAACTTTACTGATGGGCACAAAAGCAAAAGAATCGAGAAGATAAACCTAAATGTAGGTTTAGGAGGGTAAAAAACACCTCTGGAGGCACAAGGCCAGTTGCCCAGCCCCTCTGAGCACGTTGACCTGATTCGAGGCAGAAAGATGCACGAGAATAAAATTAGAACTGGCATGGAGGGTTTTTCCCGTCAGCCCTCCGTGAGGACGGCCGGGGACAGGCAGCGGTGCCGCACCTGTCCGTCAGTTTGAGTCAGGTTCCTGACAAACACAGAGGCAGAGGTCAGTTACCTCGCCGAGTGGTCATGGCACAGAGATGCTGTCACACTGGGGGCAATGAGCGAGATCTAGGAGCCCTGCGGCCGAGGCAGCGGCTGCGGTGCACGACGGCTGCAGTGCACAACGGCCTTCGACTTTAATTAGCAGAACACACTGTCGGCCATGTCCTCCTGTGTCACTGTGCCGCTTAAGTGTGACGATGGGCACAGAACAGCAGCACCAGCCACAAGCTAAAATCAACGGTGAACAAAATAAGCTTGCTGGAAAAATATCAAAACCCCCAAGCTAAACTGCAGCCAATTTTACCACATGGTAAAAAGATATTTGGTCTATTAATAGATAGGACGGCACTGTTCAAAATGCGTAGTTTTTATATTTAAAATATTCACGTAGATGTTTGTGGAGTTTGCATGTTCTCCACATGTACGTGTTTCTTTCTGCAGTCCAAAGGCAGTTAAGCTGACTTGCACTGCTAAATTGCTCGTAATGTCTTAAACACCTGGATAAGATGTCAGAAGATGCTTGGATTGACGTATGTAAATATGAGTATTTGAAAATGCCACTTAATGCATTCTTATTCACCAGCATTGTACAATTACACAATCAGTTCTACAGGGAAAATAAGAACCCTATTTCAGGCAGGCATCACTGCGTATTCGTTGGGGAAGAAAGAGAAAGATCCCGCGTCATAGCGGGGTTCACCTGTGACGTAATCCGATTAATCGGGGTGCTGCCTGGGTCACAAGCAAACGGTCCCGATAATGGCAGATTTGCTGTCAATGTATAAAGCGTCTGCTAATCAACAGAGACCTTTTAACACTGACACTTCAATCCATGCATGAGCTTGGTAAATGTGCCACCGCTTGATTCACACAAAAGTGCGCAAACCGTTATTTACCACAAATATGGAAAAATAACACCACGCACTTTATAAACCGCTCATTACATGTCATTTTCATGAAACTAAATTCTCTCTGGGGACTTGTTTAAAATAGTTTATGCAAGCATAATAACCCATAACCAGAAATTGTTTAATTGGCCACACAGGGGACGCGTCGTCTACTGTCGTTTTGCTTATTTTGAATTAGCTGAGTTTTGTTTTGAATAATTTATGAACTAGATAATTTTGGAAAGTCTTTAAATTTAAACATCTGCCTGAAACGTCCTGCACAATTAGCAAGTATAATCCCAAGATCTGTAGCTTTTTCGTGACGTTTCCCCTGAAGGTCACTGGAAAAATCTGCCAGACACCAAACAATTTCACTGCGTCAGCAAGCAGTATTTTTGGCCAGCTAAATATATGACCGAATCGTATTGTAATTATTCGATGCTCGCTGAAATGTCCGTCATTTGCCTTTTCCTGTGTTATGCATCAAAATTTATCTTTTATGCGCCGTACTAGTCTTACTAAGAGAATCTGGCCAATCCTCTTATCAATAAATAGGTTTGTATTAATACATCAATTATTTTAATGCAAATAGCACATCTGGACGACGCACGAAAAAGACTTAATAATCCAATTATAACGTCCTTTGTTAATGACAGACTAGATTAAAATAGGTAACTAGACATCCGCATCAGACCACATGACAACTTTGTTCCTAAATCACACATCAGAGAACTCAAATGCTGCATGGGATGAATTGCTATTAAACTGAAAACGTAAATACTACAATAATCAACAATAATGTGGATTAGTTATCCCTATCTAGTAACACAATTGACGGTAGGAATCGTTTGCCTTACTTGAACTAGTTGCATTATTTACGGTCGCAAGGCACGCTGGCAAACAAATGAAACGTTATAATAACCATTGCAATTCTGCCGACAATTTGAATCGCCAAGAGTGCTGTTAAAGTCGTTATCGAGTTTATGGATGCATACTAATTAATCAACCATCGTCATCAAAACCCTTGACAAATAAATGCGTGGTCATTACCTTATTCAGCGTGTCTGTTGCAGCTTTCAGTCGCGAAGGAGCGCGTATTACCCGTAATGACAGATGAAGAATTCAGCCGTAGTCCCTTTCGTACTATCACTGAGCAAACAGCCGCTGTCACTGCTTCAGTTTCTTTCTGGGGTCACTGTGTGGAGGTTTGGAGACGCCAGGAAAAACGAGCTATGCTTCCATATACAGTGCAGGCAAAAAAAAAAAATAAAAATCAATGATTCCCAAAAAATTTAGTGGTATACGAGCTGATTCGGCAGCTAGTTAACTAACCAAAAACAGACATAATATAGCAAAAACGACAAGCAGATGTAAAGTTTTTTTTAAACACCGAGAACTTGATTTCAATAGCAAGCTACGTTAAAGTGCAAATTAGAAAGGTTTTAAAGAGCCTAGCTATGAAACACAAATACAAAAAATAAGAAAATTCTTGAAATATCCAATTATTTGCAACGAACATTCTCCCTAAGATACAATATTGGCGTAAACATATTATTATGACTGTTATTAAAAACGTTCAATGAACTCCCGTTATCTGCGCCTTAGCAGCCATTTTGTTGTAAATGACAACAGCAGGGCTCCGTTTCTAAGCTAAAGTAAAACAGGAAGTGGACTCCTTGCCCCAGATGCTGGTCATGTGACATCAACTAACAAACACCCCCACCATCAGCTCCGCCCACACGTTTCCCTGACAACAGCAATCTGGCACCCCTTTCTCCTCCTTATTCAGTGACAATAAATGTGGCCACTTACCTTAGACCCAGTACGAGTAAGATCCGCGTCTGACTGTTCCTTATGTTATACAGTTCAGACATCTTTGAATTCTTATATCAAAGGTATCACAAGTATTACACAGGAAAGTGACATACAACAACGGCTTTTCTTTTGCTACGGTGAATATTAAATGAATTTTGCTTTGGCAGTAAATGCATCCACTAACACAGTAACAGGTTTTGCTTTTTTTTTTTTTACAATTCACTTAAAGCCTGATGTTTCATGAATCTGCAAAGAATGGACTTTTTTTTCTGGGATTTAAAACCTGCAACTTTTTAGTAACAAGTTCAGTTCTTTGAATCACTGAACTACCCTGCTGAGCACTCGGGTGCTGTGAAGAAATCATAGTTCATTAATGGAGGGCACATCTACTGTGTAACACTAACTCGGGGGCAATCGAAATGAAGGCAAGGAAATACGGCAGCGATGGCAATCTCTGGGGCAGCGAGAGGTCCCTCTGTCTGAGGGACCATTACAGAGCATGCCAGAGATCGTTAGGCAGTGCAGTGGAATAGGACAGTATCCCAGGCTTGTTTTAATTTCCCTAGAGAGCGCTGAACTGGTTAAGTGCAAAGACTTGGGGGAGGGGAGGGGGGGGGGGTGGGATGAGTGTGGGTGGTTATAATACGTCCCCAAATATCAAGAAAAAAAGGGAATACATTCATTTTACGTTATCAGGAGACAACTAAAACATGGAACATGGGGGAACATGGTAGAAAAAAAATGCCGTCGCTGCACTCATCTCTGCTGTTTCACGTGTAATACTTATGATAGATATGAAATATGTTTACTGATTATAAAGCTGGAAGTGCGAGTGGCTTTGCTGACCCAAGTTGTAGGGAAATATGTCAAAAGGTGGCATTTATGCACGGTGGAAAGATGCAAAGCAGCAACATGAATGTTATATTCTACACATAAGCATTTCACCGAAAAGAATATGTTCAGATGTATCCCCTTTGGAAGCACCAACATTTTGATTTAATTAGATTTTATTTCTAAGTATCTGTAATGGATTACAATTACATTTATTGTGTAATTTAATTACATAACGCTATTACGTGTAACTAGTTACTACTCGACACTATTGCAAGTACATTGCCATGTATTTTTAATGATTGTTTTACTTTGGGTTATTGACAGATATACTCTGCCAAAGGAGACTGTCAGTCCTGCATGTCTTCAGACATCGGGGCCTATAAATGCATAATTCTCCATCTCAAAAGTATACTTTCAGGGAGCAGGATTCTAGCCGTAGTTTTAGGGTCTTCTTCATCCTCTTCCTCATCTACCACCCCAGGACCCTAGATATTATGGAAGATGTTTGGATGGACAGAGGAAACATTGCATTCCATGAATCTGAGAGTAAGATGTTCCAGTCGTGTCAAGGATTGAGAAGCAGAGCAGCCCCTTTAATGATTTTAATGGCACTACCTTTGGCATGGCTTAGATTTTGCATTAAATAATTACTGTACATTGCAGAAGCATTAAAAGATCTGTAGCCCTACTCCAACTACTTGCTCCACTTTGCAATCCAGCAAAACAGATCGGTGAATGATGCCGTCTCCCTCATACTGCACACTGCTGTAGGACATCTAGAAAAGAAGAACACCTAAATCAGGATGCAGCTCCACTTTTAACACACTTACACCATCCACCCTAATGCCTAAGCTTAGAAACCTCAGTCAGAGCAACTCCACTTATGACTGGGTGTTTGACTTCCTTGAGAACTGGCAATGGGAGATCCATCCATCTATTTATTTTCCAACCCATTTATCCTACTGGGTCGCAGGGGGTCCGGAGCCTACCCCAGAAGCAATGGACACGAGGTGGGGAACAACCCTGGATGGGGGGCCAGCCCATCGCAGGGCACACTCACACACCATTCACTCACACATGCACAATTTAGTAACTCCAATTAGCCTCAGCATGTCTTTGGACTGTGGGGGGAAACCAGAGTACCTGGAGGAAACCCCACGACAACACGGGGAGAACATGCAAACTCCACACAGATGTAATCCAGGCGGGGACTTGAACCCAGGTCCTAGAAGTGTGAGGCAACAGTGCTAAACACTGCACCACCATGTCGCCAATGGGAGATCATCGACATTAATTGTCAGCACTTACATTCCACAAGCCTACTGCCTCCGCCTGCTGCCTCCGTCTGCTGCCTCGTGATTGTGAGGCAAACCACATGGGCGACACGGGAGGTAAAGAACCTGACTCCATGGTGTCACAACGACAACCTCTCCCTGAACGTCAACAAAAAAGGAGCTCATCACCTCCTACAGGATGATCAAAGCCATTCCCTGCCCACTATTCATCGATGGATCTCCCGTGGAGGCAGTCAATAGCTTCGGGTTCCTGGGAAACCAGATCACTGATTCCTTCTCATAAAACCAGCTGCATCCTCAACAAGGCTCAGCAGAGGCTGTTCATCCTGTAGGAGGCTGAAAAGCTTTGAGTTGGGAACCTAAACTTCTACTGCTGCACAATTGAGAGAATCCTAACTGGATATGTCACCGTGTGGTAAGATTACCTGATTGCTCAGGACCTCAAACTGCTGTAAAGGTCTGTCTGGACGGCTTTAAAGCACCTTCCACAATACTAGTCAATCTGCCTCTCCTGAG